CCTCCTCCTCCTCCCTCCCTCCCCCCTTTCCCCTCGCCTCACAAAAATGTTCAGTGTTATAGTCTGCGTTACTAGTTCCATGTTGGCATTATTATTATTATTATAAGCACTGTTTGTTTGTTTGTTTGTTGGTTTGTTTGTTGGTTTGTTTGTGGCTTGCATTCAGTGTGTGTGGTAGTGTGTCTTTGGGTTGAGTCCGTGTCGGGTTGTTGGATGGTGTAGATTTTTTTTCTTCTTTCATGAATCTAGTACTCGGTCAAAAAATTTTTCCACAATATCTATTGTGGAGAAGAAATGTGATTGTCCGAGACAGGTGATTGTCTTGTACAGGTGATTGTCTGAGACAGGTGATTCTATTGGACAGTGTCGTTTTAAATTTAGAAAAATTGCAAGGGGAGGGGTGAATTTAGAAATGGTCGTTTGTACTGGTGGTTGTCTTGCCTGATCGTTTGATTGTTTTGTGTGCGTGTGTCTCTGACACTGGTTGTAGAATTTTTGTTTTTTTAAAATTAGCCATTCATACCTGTGTGTGGGTAGTGTTCTTCCCAAGTCCTGGTCAAACTGCTCTGGTTTTGAGCGACGGGCACAAGTGTGTCGGTTTCAGTGAGCTGTATATTCTGTGTCGCCAAAGGCAAAGTTGTTTTTTTGTTCATCCCCCCGAGGTGGGGTTTTTTTTGGTGGTTTTTAAAAAAATCTGTACGCTGTTAGTGTTAGTGAGTGCCCTGGTTCTTGATGCTTGACCACCTCTCTGTGTGTGTGTGCATGTGTGTGTGTTTGTGCGTGTGTGTGTTGACCACACCTGTGAGTGTTGTTGGGTCGTCCTTATGTCCCGCTGTAGCTGACCGGGACGTTGGTAGTTAAGTAGCAAGCAGTGTTGTGCTCGGGGTTTTTGCCCCGTCTTGTCTTCGCTCAGGCCTGCCCACAATGTGTTGTTGGACTGCTAGCTGGGTCCTTTTGTTTTCTATTTTAAACTACATATATATGTGTGTGTGTGTGTGTGTGTGTGTGTGTTCGTAGCCTATATCCTGATCCAGGGTGAGAAAGGCAATGATGATGTTGATATGTGTGTGTGTGTGTGTGTGTGTGTGTGGTCAGACAATGTGAAATGTGTGTGTGTTTGAGAGAGAGAGAAGAGGGAGAGTCTTGCTAAATGTGTAGAGCCACCGATGTTACTTCTAGCTATGCGGTTTTGTGTCTTGTTTTTTTTTTCACTCATGCTTGTCAATATTTGAATTGAAATTGAGTTCCATTTTTTTCCCCCCACCCCATTTTAACAATATATAGATATAAATATATGTATGTGTTGCAGACACTGAAATGTGTGTGTGTGTGTATGTGAGAGAGAGAGAGGAAGAGAGTTTGGCTAAATGTCTAGAGCCATGATGTTACTTCTAGTTCTGGGGTTTCATCGTATTCCCTTCTTTCACTCATGCGTTGAATTGATGTTTCATTTTTGCCCCCCATTTTAACTATATATATATAAATATAAATATATATATGTATGTATGTGTGTGTGTCCAGACATTTGTGAAATGTGTGTGAGAGAGAGAGGAGGGGAGAGGGAGAGAAAAAGAGTCTGGCTTAGTGTGTAGAGCCACGCTGTTCCATCTAGTTAGCCGCTGAGTGTCAAGCCTAGCCTCTAGCTACTATTGTTGTGTAGATAATTCTGGCCCGCTGTTGTTACACTCTCACCTCCGATGGTGACCCCGGGGGGTGTGGGGGAGGGGAGGATCTGGGGAAATCATGAATGCTGTGTGTGTGTGTGTCCCCGTCTGGCCCGATGGTGACCCCGGGGGAGGGAGGGGGACCGGGAAAATCAGGACGGCTGTGTGTGTGTGTGTGTGTGTCCCCCCGTCTGGCGGTTGTTCCAGCCCCCCCACCCCCCACTCCCCCTCCCCTTCTGCACCCATCCGTGATAATGCTCACATTCAACTACTACACGTTTTTTGTCTGTCTTCTTGTTGCCTGACTGTCGTTTTATCGTGTGGGGTTTGCTCGTATATATAATATGTGTGTGTCAATACATATATATTTTATGTATGTGTGTGTGGACGTATATATACGGTCGCTTTTAAGGACAGTAAAGCAGGCTAACCCAGGTTTCGGGGGTTACCACAAATCTTGACCTACACCAAAAGTGGGCATTGCCCCACCTATAGGAGAAGTTTGGTTTCACTGGTGTGTGTATTTGTTTGGTTATCGAGAAAACTCCATGTCTTTTAAACAAACTGAAAGAGGCTCCAAAAACTTAATCTTCGATTTTCTCGAAACAGCATTTTTCGGGGTAGCCGCCTTGTGCTTAAAAGCGACCATATATGTGTGTGTCAATACATATATATATGTATGTGTGTGTACGTATGTATATTTATATGTATGTGTGCGTGTGTGTCAAGCGTTGAACCGCTGTATGGGTTCGCAAGATTTTTTTCTTACTGGCTCGACCAATGTTCATAATTCGGAGCTGTTATATGTGCGTGGAACAAATTATTTGATCGAGAAATGAATGGCATGGAGAGAGAGAGAGAGACGGAAAGAGTGAGCGAGTGAAAAGGGAAGTGTGTTTCCTTGACTGGTGCTGGGTTCAGAGAAAATGGGCGCAAAACTATTCAGAGTTTTTTTTTTTTTTTTTTTTTTTTTTTTGTGTGCTGCAGTTGTTGTTGCTTTCTTTCTTCCAATCAGCGGGCAAGTTGTTGAATTCGTCAGATGCGCTTCTTCTTCATTTGATTTATTATTTCGCCAAAAGCAAATAATGTTTCTTCCTCATTGCGTTGACGTTTGTGTGTTTGCGAGTTTGTGGTGAGTGTGTCTGGGGTTGATGCTGGGACTTAAGGCTTTAGGACATGGTCCCTCTGTGCTAGGACTTTAGGACAATGCCCTTCTGTGCTGGAAGGAATGGAGCTTGCTTTGGGCTGGTGTTTGATGATTTATTCACCCTGTGTGCTTCAAGCTTCTCAGTCCTTGTGAACTTCCTCTCTCTTTTTCTCTGCCCCACTCTCGCAATCTCTATCGCTGTCTCTGCGTTTCTCTCTCTCTCTCTCTCTCTTTCTCTCTCTCTCTCTCTCTCTCTCTCTCTCTCTCTGACTCTCAACTGGATAAACATTCCCATTGTCGCGTCAGCTGCCCCTTATGGTTGGAAGATGCACAGAAATCTGGCAATCTTTACGTCGTGAGTTCCCTCGTGGGCTGTCAGTCGTTGTAGGTCGCAGGCTTTGCGGGACGCAGCAGCTGCGGCAGGAAGATTTACCCCTCCTACGAGTCACGAGGAAACGAAACCTCGCTGCGGAAGTTTTGAGGATGGAGAGATAGTACGGAGAAATGTAACGTTCTGATGAGGGACGTTTGAACGGGGCAGAAATAACGTTGGATTAACCCTATTCGTACGTCGTGTTTTACTATCGTATCCATACGACGTGGGGAACTCTGTGCCACCACTTCCCAAAGAGGAAATTTACTCGTTAATCCGACCTGTACGCTTTGCATAGCAGTCTGTCAAAATGTGTTTTTGAGAAACGCTGAAAGTTTCAAAGAGATTTTTGTACTAGAAGTATTCTAAAATGTGAAGAATACAACCTCGGGGGTACAAAATGACCCCAGGTCGTTTGGATATGGTTGAACCTACACGACTACTACCACTACTACTCCTACTGCTACTCCTGCTACTTCTACTACTACTACTATTACTACTGTACAGGCTATCAGTTACGTGTGGGTGGGTGGGGGGTGGGGATGTTGAAGTGCATCAGGAGATGTACACACATGGTCACAAACATTCAATACTTACCTGTGATACACACCTGTGTCTTCTTGTACACGCGTACACACATACACGACACGCAAGCACCGACACGCTTCAGGCACATTGGCAACTATGACATCAAAAGACGCACACAGTGGGTGGTTGGCGGGTGCTCTGGTGTGGTTTGCTTCTTCTTTCCTATCAAACATCTGTCGTCCTTATTCTTTCCTTCTTCTTTTTTATGTTTGTAATATCTCTAATTTTCTGGCGCTCATATGACCTTATTGTGTTGCATGTGACGTAAAACTCGTACTAAAACTAAAAAAGCACAAGTTCCTCTTTGTTGATATTTATGGCCCAGAGAGTTGTCGAACCCCACCCTTACACACGCATACTCACACCCACACACTCTCGCACGTACACACACACACGCGCGCGCACAAACATGTGCACACACACACATTCTCCGTAGAGTCCCCAATTGCTGATGCTTTAACTGTAATCACTTTTGCTTGTTTCATTTTTTTCTGCCATCTTGTTTGCTTTTTTTCCAGTGCACTTGTGTATGTGCAAGGGTCTGTTTTGTTAGTGTGTATCCATGAACATTCCAGCAGGCTTCTGCTATCTTGTGCCGTATGTTCCTCGTATGTTTCTCCTATGTCCCATCGTCGTTTGTGTCCACCCGCCCACACGCGTGAAGGATCTGGTGACGAAGTGATGGGCTCTGGATTTCTGTCAGCAGCACGCAGTGGTTCGGGATTTCTCTGTTCTCAGGGTTCCTGCGGCCTCCTTGAGTTCAAGAAGTCTTTGAAAACTGAGAAATCTCCTTGAAAACTCTTTGAATTTGAGGAACCTCCTTGAAAACTCCTTGAATTTTGCCAGATGGGACAGGAATGAACAAAGTTTTTGTCGGAAAATCGAAACTTCGATTCCTTTCGGACTTGTGTAGTTGGCCTATCGGAAATAGGCTTTCGGCGTGAATTTCTTGACCAAATCTCCCTGAATGTAAAAAATT